AAAACTATCAACTAGGGCTGGACTTGACTTTTCCGGCGACTTTCTAGCGTTTTCCAGCGGCGGCTAGGGTTTAGCTAGGGTTTCGGCCGCCCTCTCTATACTCTCTTCTTTTCTTTTGTTTTAGTTAATTAAATGACTTAGGTAAGTTCTAGTTAGGTTTCTAGGATTTTAAATGACTAACTAAAACCCTTTTAATTTAGGAATTAAAAGAAGCGTGGGAAAAGACAAAAACACCCTTGACTTAAAAGCTGTCCAAATTCTGATGCGGCAGGGCACCTGCCAAATCTGAAAATTCTGCAAATTTTTCCTTCACGAATCTGGGGTGTTACAGTTTCTTAATTAATTGAGATACAATTTATTCTTATAAAGCTACCAAATATATCTTACTGTAGTTATTGTTATATTTAATTTTTTAAAACTAAATAGTATTATATTAAGAGGATCTGTATGCATATTAAATGTTTGATGTCAACTAATGAGTTCCATTCCCAAAAAAATAAAATACTAATAAATAAATGTAAACGAGCTTTGAGCCATTAAAAATGCTAACAAAATGGGTTATGAGCAATGCACTTGATCTTTTTCATCCAAAAGTTGCATTCAGATCAAAAAAAGAAAAAAGAAAGTAATGAATAATATAATTTTTGGATTACTCATATGATCTTTGAATCCTGAGGTTGGCCGACATAAGATATTTACTCGTAGATAACCTTTATGATCCTTCAGCAAGCATGCAATTTCAATTAACTTTAAATCCAATTAACTTAGTGTTTTATCAATTTAAGTAGATTGTAAAATCTTTTGGATATTTATACAAGTTTTAAGCCAATATCAACTTTTAAATAAATTAAGCTATTTAAAATAGTAGAAGTTGATGACCAGGAAGTATAGGGGTGTGCGTAATTTGGTATGTACCGAATTATCAAATCAAAACCGAAAATATCGGTAGTATATCTGGTATTTGGTTTAAATTTTAAAAAAAATGATATTTTGGTACGATATTTGCTAGTTAGTAAAAACATACATTATACAATGCACATATATTAGGTTATAACATTAATATTAAAGGCCTAAAATCTTACTTTATCAATAAGATTACCTTTTACCTTTTCCACCTTTTTTCACTACATACTTACCTTTACCACCGTTTTTTAAGGCCTACTTATCTTTCCGATTTTCCCACCTTTAAGCTTTATAAATCAGAAATCGAAAATTTAACTTCCCCACCTATATATTTATTTCAGAACTGATGGTAGTCTAGTTGAAAATTTCATACATGATCATATATGTCTTTCCTTTAACTCACTAAAAGGGCAGACGGGTGCACTAAAGCTTCTGCTTTCCTTTAACTCACTCTCTAGAAAAATTAGAAGTTCCAAAAGGCACTTTCTTTAATGTTGTGATTCGTCCATGAGAAAAGAAGAAAGTCACAATTCTCTATCTACGCCGAGCAACCGAGTTATCGAACTGAATAAACCTAAAACTGAAAGAAAAAACAGTACATACCAAATTCAATTCGGTATGTTATTGGTATAGCATTTTAATAAACTGAATACCGAACCAAAATGTCTAAAAACCATACCAAACGATGGATGAACATCCCTACTTGGAAGAGACTTGTATTTTATTTGTCGTAGCCTCTCTTTAGTTTGAAAATGGTCAATTTCTTTTGTGGAAAATAAAATTTAGGAAGACAACTGTAATATGAACTGTGCTTCGACCACACATTCTCTTTTTAGATTGTTTCTAGTTGTATTTCCATGTAATAGCTTACGAGTAAAGAAACCTAAGGTACTTGCATGAATTAATCGGAAACTTGAATATCTTGTCATCTAGTCCCAGACCATTATTCAATCTTTTCATCTAGTTCAAGGCCCATTATTCATAGTCCATGGGTAGCATAAATTTGTTAGTTGAAAAATATCTGCTGTTTAATCATCTTCACGCTAATTTATTTTGATATCACTTTTTGTCTACACACATGTCAAATATTGGCTCTCAAAATACATGATGAAAATCTTAAAGTGTTTTACTTTTGCAGATACAACCTCTTGTAGGTCCAACAAAAGATATCATGAGAGTTCACATCAGTGTTTATAGATGGCATGAATTCTTCCCTCGAGGTACTTAAATGGAAGTCAAATTGAGTATTAACATATACATGTGTATACACTTATGCACTGAAGTAGAGATTTGTTAATTAATACTGTTCTTCTTATGGTTGGATACTTGCAGCCAAAAACAATATCGGTGTCGTGATTGCACTATGGGCTCCTATTATTCTTGTATGCATATCCATTTGCATGCTTCTCATTCTTTCAGCTTCTCCGTTTTCACCTTTTCTGTACAAAATTGTAATTGAAGACTATCCCAGGTCTATTTCATGGATACTCAGATTTGGTATGCTATTTTCTCTACCATATTTGGAGGCATCTATGGCGCGTTTCGGCGTCTTGGAGAGGTTGGTAGAGCTTCCACCCACTAATTGACGTTAGTAACTTAGGTTGCTTCCCATCCAATTTATAAGCTTTATGTTGGACGCTATGAAATTCTCTCAATTAATATTTTCTCCTGCATGCTTGTTTGTTTGAATCATCTCAGTGTCAGATCTATGTTTATTTATCTACCAGAATCCTATGCATCATTTGAGGTATCACATAGATATCAGAAAGTATGCATGTAGTAATTGCTATTTATACAATCTATGAGATGCATAGTTTTATGAATGCTGTTCAAAGATCGCTAGCATATGAGGTAATTAAGATAAGATTTTCTTTTCTCCCAAAGTCTGCCTTCCACCTTGAATTCCATTGGTTTTCCACAGTTTACTAATGTTTTTCTGTTTTGGGGTGATAAGTTCTCTTCCTGTCTTCTGCTTTCAGATTCGCACATTGGGAATGCTTAGATCGCGGTTTGAGTCACTACCAGGAGCATTTAATGCTTGCTTGATCCCAGTGGAAAAGGATGAAAAACGTAAAAAGGGACTTAAAGCCACATTATCTAAGAAATTTGATGAGGTCAAGCCCTAGACATCTCTTTGCATTGACTATGCAGAGATCAGTGTTAATATTTTGTTAATTTATTGGACCTTGCAGGTCACTTCTAGTCGAGGAAAGGAGGCTGCAAGGTTTGCTCAAATGTGGAACAAAATAATAGAGAGTTTCAGGGAGGAGGATCTGATAAATAATAGGTACCGTGATAATGGTGGTAGAGGCAAACAATCCTTTTCTTGAGAGCTTGGATGCGCTGGTTTCCTCTTTATGTAGTTTCATGTTTTGTTTATTGTTTCTTTTCCAATTTCCTTCTCTTCCCTTTTGCTATCCCTCTCTTATCCCTTGCAATATTACTCTTCCAGAGTTAACTTGCTGTGCTTACAGGGAAAGGAACTTATTGCTTGTGCCATATTGGGCTGACCCTGATCTGGACCTTATCCAGTGGCCTCCATTTCTCTTAGCTAGCAAGGTTTGGGGTCTTACAAGCTTCTTTATTTTCTAAACCTTAAGGAAATTCAATGATAACCTTATTAAGTGGTGTTTATCTCATGACTGCTATTAGCTTCCTATTGCATTGGATATGGCTAAAGATTGCAATGGAAGAGATCGTGAGCTGAACAAAAGGTTGAGTGCGGACAGTTACATGCGCAGTGCCATTCGTGAGTGCTATGCTTCATGTAAAAGCATTATAAATGTTTTGGTCTTAGGTGAACGTGAACAGCTGTAAGTTTCCATCTGTTACATTTACTTATTCGGCAAAGTTGCAGAGAACAGTTATGAATCCTTGAGCTGTTTCTAATTATTTAATTGGAAATCAATAATTTTCAGGGTGATACAAGAAATTTTCTCAAAAGTTGATGAACATATAGCTGAGCGTAATCTGATAAAAGAGTTTAACATGAGCGCACTACCTACCCTCTATGAACAATTTGTGCGGCTTATTGATTTTCTGGTAATAATACCCTATACAAAATTTTCAGCTAAGAATTGAGTGTTTCATAGAGTTCTACTAAAGTGTCTCTAAATTCCACAGAAAGAAAACAAAAAGGAGGACAAGGATCATGTAGTTATTCTCTTGCTTGATATGTTAGAAGTTGTGACCCGTGACATAATGGAAGACTCTGTTCCTAGGTAAATAATGAGGGAGCAAGTTTCTTTCTTCTTTGTTTAATTGTTGATCATTTTGTTTATTTTTGTAACTCCTTGTTGTAGTTTGTTAGATTCCACCCATGGTGGCTCCTATGGGATGCATGACGGAATGATTCCAAATGCAAAATATCAGCTCTTTGGCACCCTTAATTTTCCCGTAACAGAAACAGAAGCATGGAAGGAAAAGGTGATCAACTAAATCAAGTAACATATTATAAGTGTACTGTTAATTTTGTTGCATGATATAGTTTCAGACAATCACTGGATTATAATATACGATAGAAAATATGAGATGACAGGTCAAATTCCATAGCATGGTAAATATGGTAAGGGACTAAGGTTGATTCAAAATAAGCAAGAGGAAGAACTGAAACACAGTTTTTGTCTGTGTGCCCCTTGTTCAATTAAATATAGCGAGTTTCTATTACAACAATCTTAAAAAGATGTTCTCTTCACTCAGTCATCAAATGTTGTGAGATTTGAAATGAAGACCACTATATGTGTCTGTGTGTGTACACATGTGCTCATGTGGATGCATGCGGGCATGTATATATATCTTTCACATGCCATAAAAGCATGCTGTGAGATTTGGAGTGAAGAATGTGTAGGACAATCTTAGAATGATGTGTGTGCACGTGGGCATAAGCCATAAAGAGAGAGATTGCTAAGGTTGGAAGAAAAAGTATCAAAATCTAGTGCCAGGTTCCTGTTTCTTGGTGAAACCCTTTCAATAACTTCGCTTCAAATTTGGGAAAGGAGAGTGATCAGTTATCTTCTTTGATCCACACTCATATGAAGCTTCTTGTTTTTCCAGATTAGAAGGCTTCACATGCTGCTAACTGATAAGGAATCTGCCATGGATGTGCCAACCAATTTGGAAGCTAGACGGCGCATCTCATTCTTCTCAAATTCATTGTTTATGGACATGCCTCACGCCCCCAAAGTTCGCAATATGCTTTCCTTTTCGTAAGTTTTCTGATTAAAACATAAGTTGTCAATTGATACGTAATCACAGTGCATCATGATACCATTGTGGGGATGTTAGTTAAAACTCAACTTATTCCTGTATAGCTTGTTGGTATTAAGAAGCCTCTTTCAGAAAGAAAAAAGATCAGAGATTCTGGAGAAAATAGATTTATGACTATCATATGAATGTTTTTAAGACTCTAACGAGATGGAGTTAAGGTCATTAATATTAGAGCAAGGCTTGCCCTTTGTGGGTACGACACTGAAACATGTTATGTCTTTAAATTAAACTTTGGTTTGGTTTCATTCCCCTGGGAAATAGTCTCATACAAGAATCTAACTCTTGTTTAAGTTATCAGTAAAATGGATAAACTAGTCTTGCTTTATCCTTGTGAAATTGAATAATAGTTGTGTAGGAGCTCCTCTGCACCCTAAAATTATATTAGGTAGAGTACATTTACAAAGCTAACATATAAGAAATACTATGTACAGTTTAGTTGCTACGCTACATAACATTTACGTTTAACACCCTCTCCTCCTCCCTCTGGAACTTCCAAGAGCTTTACTGGAAGTATCTGCCAATTGATCATTTGAATTAACATATGCAGTCATAGTATCCCTGAATTGCAACTTCTATCTAACGAACTGCCAATCAACTCAATGTGTTTAGTCCTCTAGTGAGAAGTTGTAGCTATGTGTAAGCTGCCTTTTTATTACAATATGACTTGATGAGGTTGTTGTATCAACTCCCAAGAAACTGCCTCAATCACAACAATTCAGATGTAATTTTAAGGCTATGGCCTATACTCTGCCTCACTGCTTCAACACTTGGTCGAGCACCACATTTTGTTTTTTTAAACTTCTCCAAGAGGCCAGATTTCCTCCAATCAATATACAATTCCTATTGATGTGGAACCATCACAATGTATCCAACTGCTTCAGTATGAACTCCATCCTCATACAGTAGGACTATCTGACCTACTCCCTGTAGCACTATTAAGGTACTTCACAACTTGATTACAACATCTAAATGAGCGTCAATTGGAGAATCCAGAAATTGACTTACAACACTCACTGGGAAAGAAATGTCCAGTTTGGTAACTATAAGTTCGATTTGCAACCAATCAATGATATCTCCCATCATCTAGGAAGGGCTTCCCCTCCGCTGGTACCAAGTCGACATTAGGATCCATTGACGTGTCCATGGGATTATACTCCAGTCTTCTAAGATGTCTAACACATACCTTCACTGTGATATGTTTTTTTATAAGGTTAACTATCTTATTTTATCAATATGGGAAATTTTCCCATATACATGCAATATACTAAATAGTGGAGAATCTACAATATATATGATGATAACAACATGGATAACATAGATCATATGAAGGCTTTAGAGGAACTTGATGGACACCAAATAAAGATATATAATGTGTTGAAGGTCCATCAAAATGAAGAGGATGGAGAATAAGGCTATGTGTGCAAGTGGCCTTCTCTTAAATCCAAGAATTCACAAAAGAAGGCAACCAAACAAGGCCCTTATCTAAATGAGGGTAAAATTGTCAAGAAAGTGTCTTCTTTATTTCCTTAGTATAAATAGTAGTTTTATCATTTTGCAAGACTTAGATTATGATGAATTGAATATTTGAGACCTTTGAAGCTTGTAGTTTCTAGGTGTAGCCTAACATTAGTCTAGTTCATAGTTGGTAATTGTAGTTGAGTGATTAGAGTGGATTCCCGATATTGCTTGTGTTAGCTTCTTATAGCTTAATCAATCATCGAGTTACCCTTTTTGTGGATTCAATTTGATTTTCTCGTTTTTGATTGATTATGGGTTATTGTTATTTGATCGAATTCAATTGAGAGGTGGAGGTATAAAGTCCTTTGTTGCTCATAATTTCGATTGGATTTTGATAGTTCCACATATGTTTTCTTATTTCTTTCAATTGCCCTTTTGATTTTTATTATTTGGTATCAGAGCCAAGGAATGTTACTTAGGTTTGACCTTGACAAACTTGGTTTAGGAATGAATTGGCGATTATTTGTTTATTTTTAATGCATTATTTGCTTTATTTTTTTTTATTTCTAATCATGCTTTGTTTGAAAGGAAGCAAGTCAAATCCAAACTTGTGTTCCTTATTTGTTTGATCGACACTACTTGTTACTACTTTCTCATTTGCACTTCCTATCGAGTCTTTGGTCGTACACAAACACACTGAACTCGTGAGGGGTGCCCTGCACTCCTCCAAAACTTTCTTGAATTCCTTAGTTTCAGATTGGTGCAATTAGGTTAGTGCGCCTTCTCGCAATTATTCAGTCCCACTCTCAATAATCTAGGAAAAAAATCCTACTCTAGAAATAGGACATTTTGCATACTCTTTAGGCGGGACAATATGAGGTATTGTTGCTGCATTTAGGAAGCCACCCTTTTGTCAACGAGTTTCTCTTTAAAACCCAATGACATATATTTATGTGAAAATGATTGATTGATCCAAGTATTAAAATCGTAACAGATTCGGGACATTAAGATTGACTACCTTTTTTCTTTTAGATGCAAATCAACCAAAACCTCCCTAATATCCAGATGATAACTGAAGTCCCCCGAATTTTGAAAATTTGGTGGGGAAACATCCGATTGACATACGAAAATGAAATTATGCTGCACTTGGGATCATTATCTGATTTACTGAATGTAAAGGTAAACAAGTTGCTTATTACTCTGATGATCGAATTCTGGCACTTGGGAAAGTCACTGTTGTTGGTTGCTCGAATTTGATCATCAGGGTAATGAACAACTTGTTATCCCTCACATTCAGTAAATCAGTTAATGACCCCAAGTGTGGCATAATTTCATTTTCGTATGCCACTCGGATGTTTTCCCACCAATCTTTCAAAATCCGAGAGACCTCAGTTATCATCTGGATATTAGGGAGGTTTTGGTTGATTTGCATCTGAAAGAAAAAAGGCAGTCAGTCCTAATGTCCTGAATCTGTTACGATTTTAATACTTGGATTAATCAATCATTTTCACACAAATATATGACCTTGGGTTTTAAAGAGAAACCTGTTGCCAAAAGGGAGGCTTCGTAAATGCAACGACAATACCTCATATTGTCCCGCCTAAGGTGTATGCAAAATGTCCTATATTTAGAGTAGGATATTTTTCTTAGATGATTGAGAGTGAGACTGAATAAATGTGAGAATGCGCACTAACCTAATTGCACAAATCTGAAACTAAGGAATTCAAGAAAGTTTCAGAGGAGTGCAGTATACCCCTCGCGTGTTCAGTATGTGTTTGTTTACGACCAAAGACTCGATAGGAAGTGCAAATGAAAAAGCAGTAACAAGTATTGTTGATCAAACAAATAAGGAACACAAGTTTGAATTTGACTTGCGTCCTTTCAAACAACGCATGGTTATAAATAAATAAAAAAGCAAATCATGCATTAAAAATAAACAAATTATCGCTAATTAGAAAAGGCATATGACCATGTGAACTGGAAGTTTTTGTTGAAGATGCTTGCATGTAAGTTTTGCATCTCCACGGTCAGATTCTCAGTCCTCATAAATGGTGCACGTGAAGGTTTTTTCCCTGGTCTGAGGCAGGGAGATCCCCTATCTCCTTTCCTTTTTATCATTGTCATGGAGGGCCTAAATAACATGATAGAGGTGGCCAGAGAGAATGAATGCCTCAGGGGTTTTGAGGTAGTCACAACTCAAACCTCAATAGCAAATGGCAACATGGAAGTCACTCATTTACAGTATGCAGATGACACCTACACCTTAATATTTTGTGATGCTAATGAAGGACAACTATTGGTTTTAAGATCAATCTTGGTGCTATTTGAAGGAGTCTCAGGTTTGCATATCAACGGGAGAAAGAGTCAGTTGTATCCTATTAATAATGTCTCTAATATGGAGGAACTGTCTTGGATTTTGGGAGGGGAAGTAGGTTTTTTGCCTACCATTTATCTGGGCATGCCCTTAGGTGCCAAATCAAAGGCTTTGAACATCTGGAATCCTGTGATTGCAAAGTGTTAGAAGAAGCTTACCAGATGGAAATCTCAATATATCTCCTTGGGAGGCAGAGTCACTCTCATTATTTCTGTTTTGAATTCCTTGCCTACTTATATGATATCCATCTTCTCCATTCCTGATGGGGTGATACAAAGGCTGGCTAAAATTAGGAGGGATTTCATGTGGAAAGGGGTTGAGGAAAATGATTCCACTGTCTGACATTTAGTCAAGTGGAACAAGGTTCTCAGGGGGGAGAAGCATGGGGGTCTAGGAATAAGGAATCTGAAAAAGCAGAGCAAAGCTCTTTGACTAAAATGGTTATGGAGGTATTCTCAAGAGCCTCAACCATACTGGGGAAAAGTAATTCAAGCAAAATATGGAGAGGAGAACAAGTGGATGACAAAGGAGGTTCTTGCACCATATAGGGTAAGCCTGTGGAAGTCCATCAGAATCTTGTGGCCTCTCTTGAAGATCAATACAACCATCAGGGTAGGCAATGGCAATAAGACTTCATTTTGGGAGGATAAATGGTTGGGCGCTACTAGTCTGAAAAGTATCTTTCCAGAGATGCATGACTTGGTAGTGAATAAACATGTGAGTGTAGCTGAGCTGAAATAAGAAAGGCACATTCAAGGTAAACTTGGATATAAGTTGCTAAATCAAGGTGGACAACAACCCTCTCTTTGGCCTTGGAAGCAGATTTGGAAACCTAAAATCCCTTTCAAGGTGTCATGTTTCACTTGGCTTCTGTCAAGAGAAGCAGTTTTAACACATGAAAATCTCAAGAAAAGGAAGTTCTCCATGTGTTCTAGATGCTATTTATGTGGGAAAGAGGTTGAGACAGTCAACCATCTGTTTCTCCCGTGCAGAATAACATCCCAGCTGTGGAGGATTTTCATTAGTCTCAGGGGTTTTGCTTGGGCTATGCCTAACAGAATCACACATCTTTGGTACAGTTGGGGAGAAGTAGGGGTGGGAGCTGTAGATAGAGATAGATGGAGGATTGTCCCAGCCTGTATTTGGTGGACTGTTTGGAAAGAAAGAAATGCTAGATGTTTCGAGAGTAAGAGCTGTGATCTTCAAAAGATCAAACTAAATTGTATCAAGCTTTTTTGCTTTTGGTGCAAACAGATGTATTTATAGGACACTGAATCCATTTAGATATCCTAGGTTCCTGTTAGGATTCAGATTCAGTTTTCTTACTTTTTTTACAAGCTGTAAATATGGTTTTCAGTGCATGGGTTGCACTGGTTCAGTGAAAATACACAAATGTTACCTTCTCAAAAAAAATAAAAATATATTATGATTCTCCATGAAAACCTCCCAATCTTCTATATGAACTAGAATTTCATGGGTACACCAAAAAGAAACTAAAAATGAGAGGCTATTATTTAGGACCCGTACCTACTCCCCACTATTTGGAATGAAGTCAAAGTTTGGACTGGAGTTTGGCTCCTAGTTTGTAGTTCTTTGCTCTAACCTTCAAACGACAGATACCTTAGGACCTGCTTATCCACTTATCCACTCCTCGCTCTCCAGAATGTGGATAAGTTACCAAGACCATTAGTACACACCTGAATTACAATGTTAAACTTTGGTCTAGATGTTGGTACAAGTGGTCAAACTACTGAGTAGACACTACCCTCTATAGTGTATCAGTAGATGCCTGGTCCACTAGGTTTCTAGCACAACAATTTTTATGATAAAGAAAAAAAGTTGCTCTTAGTATCGAGAAGTCCATTAAATTCCAACGTTCAGTTAGATTCTTGAGTAAACAAAAAAATTCTGAAGTGATTTTGTCCTACTCTGTAGCGCTATTATTTCTTGGCCACTAGGATCCTAATAGAATTCTGAAGAAACTGAACTTTCTTCTACTAGAATTGTGAAGATACTGAACTCTAGCATGAAGTGATATTTTTCTTAGATACAGCTCTTTTTTCAAAACAAAACAAAATAAAACTTTTGACCTCATTGATGATGTCAACTTGTCTGATTGTCACAACTGATGACCTCGTACCTGGTGAAACTATAATTAGATCAAATTGAGATCTAAATCAATGCTATTATTTGTTCTAGTGAGTGGTTACTGCCCGAAATAAGGCGACAATTCAGTTGTAATATGACAAGCTAAATGCATTATGGATTTCTGCTCGAAGTCAGTCTAGACAGATCTATGGAATGATGGTGGGTGTTAGTTTCTCTCTATGATGATGATTGCATGGAATCTAAGGGAGCTTGGAACAGTGGTTTTGCTGGAATGGAAGAGATGAGTTTTAAAGAAAAAATTAAAGATATGATTTTATAGGAGAGATTAGTATGATCTTACAAGTTCTAAACTCTACAACAGAAAAAACCAAGTGTTAGCACTTAGTCAGTTAGATGAGTGGTCTTTTCCCTGGTATGCTTTTTCCCTTGGCCTTCATGTAATAAATTATTACGTTATCAAAACAAATTTATATGTGTTCTCCATGAACTTGCAACCATTGGGACATAGTTCACTTCGGTTTACATCTTTCATCTGTGTTCATCATGTCATGGAAGTCAGTTACTTTAACTTGGACCAATTGACTTCTTTTTCTCTAATTATATGTGATATTTTTTTCCCTTTTTAGTATTTTGACGCCTTACTTCAACGAGGAGGTTCTTTTCTCAATAAATTCACTGGAAAGGCCAAATGAAGATGGTGTTTCTATACTGTTTTATTTGCAAAAGATATACCCAGGTTAGCTTTCTAATTGTAAACCTAAGCATGAAATGGACTATCCTTGACATATTATGATTCCAAGTCATTCTTTATGTCTGAATCAATATGAAAATCCTTTAAAGATGAATGGGAGAACTTCCTTGAAAGGGTTGACTGTATCAGTGAGGATGATCTTAAGGGTAACACTAGATTGGAAGAAGAACTCCGTCTCTGGGCATCATATAGAGGCCAAACATTGACTAAAACAGGTATGGTTAGCTTTATGCTTATTCTGACCTTTAGCAGAAGCATATTTTCTTGATAAATTTCTTAATTTGCATGCAATTGATCGACTGTATTAATCAGTACGAGGTATGATGTACTATCGGCAAGCTTTGGAACTTCAGGCTTTTCTTGATATGGCAAAAGATGAAGGTGCGTACGAGAATTATTTCTATTCTTCCCATCATCTTGAAGAGTTGAGTTTGTCATGAATTGCAGTTTCTACATTTTTTACAGAGTTAATGAAAGGCTACAAGGCTGCTGAATCTAATACTGATGAACAGCCAAAAAATGAGAGGTCCTTGATGTCACAATGTCAGGCAGTTGCAGACATGAAATTTACCTATGTTGTGTCATGCCAGCAATATGGCGTTCAGAAAAGGTCTGCTGATCATCGTGCTCAAGACATTTTGAGACTAATGACAAAGTATGATCCAGAATAAACAACTTTGGTTTATTTTATGTTTTAAGTGTTTACTTCTTATTTCTAAATTTTGTTCCTTGTGTTCTTTGTAAGGTACCCTTCTCTTCGAGTAGCTTATATTGACGAGATTGATGAAACTGGCAAAGATAAATCAAACAGGACTGGTGATAATAAGGTTTATTATTCAGCCCTCGTGAAGGCTGTACCAAGGTCTGTGGACTCGGCAGAGCCAGATCAGAAGTTAGATCAGGTACCTATTGCAGGGGTTGAATTGGAACATTATGCTTCACCTAGAAGCTACAACAGATCTCTTTTTCCTATTCTAGTTTTCCTTTTCTTTTTCTGGTTTGCCTTTTATTAAGAGTGTCATAACAAGAGTTCATCTTAAGTTCTATTTTGGGCCTTGGATGTATGATCCTGGTTTGTGGACTTCCTTTTATATAGTTTAGTTCTTCTGGCCGGATTGCATCTCTGCAAATTATTTTTGTCAATCTACATAGAGTTTGTGCTTGGATACTGAGAATCCACACAATTGTTGCTGGAGATTATAATTATATACCTGTTCAAAATCCGCACAATTGTTTCTGGAGATTATAATTATATATCTCTTCTCAGTTACAAAAAGCAGGCACAATCTCAAACTTTTATTCATTCATTCTACAAACTGGCTCTTACGTTGGAGATACATCTGCATTTTCTGGTCCATATATTACTTATTCTCTGCAATCAACTTCTGAAATATTGTTGTCTAGGTTATTTATCGAATAAAACTTCCTGGGCCTGCTATATTGGGAGAAGGAAAGCCAGAGAATCAAAATCATGCGATTATATTTACTCGTGGGGAAGGATTGCAAACAATAGATATGAACCAGGTAGGTATCTGATAAGATTCTCATTTACTATGAGAAAAAGTTGGCATTTGGTTTGACGCCACATTATTACTTTTTTCAATCAAAAGGATAACTACATGGAAGAAGCGCTTAAGATGAGGAATTTGTTGCAAGAATTTTTGAAAAAGAATGGAGTGAGAAATCCGACTATTCTGGGATTGCGGGAGCATATTTTCACTGGCAGGTATGGAGATGGGCCTTTCTAGCGAACCAATAACTTTTTGTTGCTACAATGGGATTGGAGAAATTGTGCATGAGAATTTCATCTTGACAGTGAAATGTAATTTCTTATCAGCTATCATTTTGATTTCTCTGTGCAGTGTTTCTTCACTAGCATGGTTTATGTCAAATCAGGAAACCAGCTTTGTTACAATTGGGCAAAGATTGTTGGCCAATCCATTGAAGTAAGTAGCCAAGAACTAGTTAGGATGTAGAGTACCGACTCTTTTGTTGAGTGCCAACTTGAACTATTATATTCTAGTAGAATTTTGCCCTCCTCTCTCTTCTTTTTTGTTTTCTGTTCTGTAAGTAGCCTACTGATGACAGGGAGTTTTTTTCTAATGCACTGAAATCCTGCTTTCCTTCTCTCTTCTCTTCTCTTCTCTCTCTCTCTCCGTTAATATCCATTCTCCTTGTTCTTCCTTGTGTAGCCAGAGGCTAAATGTCTGATATTTAGTACGTGCACGCCTTTTCATGTCTAGTTGCCTAGGTGTTCTACTTATGAAAGTTAATGAACCTTCTTGTCGCCCTGTGACTATTTTTTACTTGGTAAGGTTTGATTGCCTTTCTGTAATCTTAGGATAAAGTGATGGAACATCCTATTTCAAGCTGTAGTTGCATGGATTCTGGATCATAATAATGCAAATATGTCTTTTCATCTCAGTAGGTCAAAAAGGTTTTACTGACATGAAGTTTCTCGTCTATTGTGGATGCTTTGTCTCAGAGTACGTTTCCACTATGGTCATCCTGATGTATTCGATAGATTGTTTCATTTAACAAGAGGTGGTGTGAGCAAGGCTTCCAAAGTCATCAATCTAAGTGAAGACATATTTGCCGGTATTTGAAAACCCACATTGACACGTAAATCCTGTAGTTTTGTCTATTCTTACAAATTTTGTTGCATCTTTTAGGTTTTAATTCTACTCTACGGGGGGGTAATGTTACTCACCATGAGTACATCCAAGTTGGTAAAGGAAGAGATGTTGGCCTTAACCAAATTTCACTGTTTGAGGCAAAGATAGCTAATGGAAATGGTGAGCAGACAATGAGTCGTGATGTATACAGGCTTGGACATCGATTTGATTTCTTCCGTATGCTATCATGCTTCTTCACCACTATAGGATTCTACTTTACTACCTTGGTACTGCTCAACTGCTTTCCAGCTTAGACTTCCATGATCCTAACCGGGTTTATTCTCTTTATAGTCTATCTAAATGAATGTATCTTCTTTGGCAGATAACCGTCATTATTGTATATGTATTTCTTTATGGTCGGCTGTATCTTGTCGTCAGTGGGCTTGAAGAAGGATTGAGTTCACACCCAGCTATTCGAAATAATAAGCCTCTTCAAGTTGCTCTTGCCTCTCAGTCTTTTGTGCAAATTGGCATATTGATGGCATTGCCCATGATGATGGAGATAGGCCTTGAGAGGGGCTTCCGCAATGCCTTAACTGATTTTGTGCTGATGCAACTACAACTTGCTCCTGTTTTCTTTACATTTTCTCTTGGAACAAGGACCCACTATTATGGGAGAACATTGCTCCATGGGGGTGCTCAATATAGAGGCACTGGTCGTGGCTTTGTTGTATTTCACGCTAAATTTGCTGAAAACTATCGTTTGTACTCCCGAAGCCATTTTGTCAAGGGAATTGAACTGATGATTCTACTTCTTGTCTACCATATATTTGGTAGATCATACAGAGATATGGTGGCATATGTTCTTATAACCGCATCTATATGGTTCCTGGTTGTTACATGGCTCTTTGCCCCATTCCTGTTCAATCCTTCTGGATTCGAGTGGCAAAAGATTGTTGATGACTGGGCAGACTGGAATAAATGGATAAACAATCGTGGTGGTATCGGTGTATCCCCAGAAAAAAGCTGGGAATCTTGGTGGGAGAAAGAACATGAGCATCTTTATCATTCAGGGATTCGTGGCACTGTAGTCGAGATATTATTATCATTGCGCTTTTTTATATATCAATACGGACTTGTATATCACCTCACAATTTTGAATAACGAAACAAGTATCCTGGTACGTCCTTAGTTTGCATTTCAGTCTGCAGAAATGATCAACTGAAATATTCTAGTACTGACTCCTTTTGTTTCTTGCTGCATATTCAGGTTTACGGTGTTTCTTGGATCGTCATTTTCGTGATATTAGCAGTAATGAAGGTGAGTTCTAACATGTCACTTTCTTATTATATTCTTTGATAAGTTCCCCCAGCATCTCAGAAGTTATAGAGATGCACAATCTTATATCACAAAACCGTAAAAAGAATACATGACTTAGTATGTGATGGTTACCAGTTTTTAGCTATTATTTATGGTTACAATTACTAACCTTTTTCTTTTACAGGAGATTTAACTTTTGGATTACAATTTCCTGCAATTCACATATTTTCTTGCATCTTATTTATCTGTTTTGCGCCAGTGGAGTTTATTCGCATTATAGTATTGCCTTGAACAGTGTGTTTTTGAGGCTTAGTAGATACACTTGTGTTATAACAATGTTTTCCCGTAAAAATCCAACTATTGGTAATTACTGAGGTCAGATGATTTAAATAAAAGGTAACCAACGATGGTCAGTTTAATTATGGGTAGGAGTAGTTTGCTTGCTTTTCCTCTGTCAATTTTGCTTGCTGCACTTTCTGGTGCTTATGCTGTTTCCTGCAATTCACATATTTTCTTGCATCTTATTTATCTCTGTTTTGCGCCAGCGGAGTTTATTCGCAGTATAGTATTGCCTTGAACATTGTGTTTTTGAGGCTTAGTAGATACACTTATGTTATAACAATGTTTTCCCTTAAAAATCCAACTATTGGTAATTACTGACGTCAGATGATTTAAATAAAAGGTAACCAACGATGGTCAGTTTAATTATGGGTAGGAGTAGTTTGCTTGCTTTTCCTCTGTCAATTTTGCTTGCTGCACTTTCTGGTGCTTATGCTGTTTCCTGCAATTCACATATTTTCTTGCATCTTATTTATCTGTTTTGCGCCAGTGGAGTTTATTCGCATTATAGTATTGCCTTGAACAGTGTGTTTTTGAGGCTTAGTAGATACACTTGTGTTATAACAATGTTTTCCCGTAAAAATCCAACTATTGGTAATTACTGAGGTCAGATGATTTAAATAAAAGGTAACCAACGATGGTCAGTTTAACTATGGGAAGGAGTAGTTTGCTTGCTTTTCCTCCGTCAATTTTGCTTGTTGCACTTTCTGGTGCTTGTGCTGATTAAAGTTTTGGCTTGCCTTTCTTCGTTCATTGCAGGTTGTGTCTGTCGGAAGGAAGAAATTCAGTGCTGATTTTCAGCTCGTGTTTCGTTTGATCGAAGGCTTCATTTTCCTTTCATTTGTTGCCCTACTCATCAGTTTGATTGTTATTCTACACTTGAAATTTCGTGATATTATTGTTTGCATTCTCGCGTTCATGCCTACCGGTTGGGGAATGCTTATGGTGAGTGCAACAGCCATTCCTTTGCGTCTCAGACATTCTCTTTCGTTCTTTATGCAGGTTTTAAGTCTTCATCCTGCTTTAATTGTTTCAGATTGCTCAAGCTTTGAAGCCTTGGATTCGACGTGGTGGCTTCTGGGGATCGGTCAGGACACTTGCCCGTGGTTATGAAATTATAATGGGGTTGCTGTTGTTCACGCCCATTGCATTCTTGGCTTGGTTTCCATTTGTTTCGGAGTTCCAAACCCGAATGTTGTTCAACCAAGCATTCAGTAGAGGTCTGCAGATTTCTCGTATTCTTGGTGGACCAAAGAAGGATCGTTCCTCGAGCAACAAAGAGTAGTTTTGAAGGCTACAATACTACTCATTTCCAAACTGATCCTGCTGAATTCGTTGGACATCTTGAGGATATATGGACAGAAGAATATATTCATGTAAATATTAGTATGTATCTTAGTTCATGTATACAATTTCAGGTAGCATGTGTATATAATATAGTTTCTGCAATTTGTCCAGATGAGTTGTAGACTTGTACAGGATACATATTTGAAATCAAAAGGAGAGGGTTTGGTATGGATTAATTTATTAAAAGCTTGTTAGTGGAAATTTCCTTTTGTGTTTTGAAGTCCTTTTCACTTGGTGAGTAAGTAAATTATTTATTATTTGTTCCATTACACTTGTAAACGTGCATATGGCATGGTTAATTTAATTTTTGAAAACTTAAGTTTATTAAAATTGCGGAAAATGACTTTTTAAATCAAAGATCTAGTTATATCGGGTTTTACTCCACTCTTACCTCGTTCTTGGATCTGGTGTTTGGTACGTAGGATAAGATGGATATTACAAGTTTAATTTTCTAATAAGATTTACTCTGTTTGGTAGATGATATAAGTTTTACTTGAGGATAAATTTATACCGTCTATCAAATATAGTATAAGTTTTATAACAAGCTTAATGCTAAAATATTATATCTTATCCTATTCGATTTGAGATTATTTTATCTCATTTTTCAGGTAGGATAAATTATGAATTCAGAATAATTTAATCTATGTACCAAAACGACTCACTCTTTACCCAAAACGAAAAACATGCCTTGTATTTATAAAGTCTTTATTTTAGAGTATATGATAATTTTACAAATCGTGTAATTCGAGTATATGTATCATAATTACAGTTTGGACCCCACTTGATGCGACCACTGCTTCCATACTTATCTCATGCTATAGCGTCATCCATGTGATTTACACGTGACTCCTCCTTCCCTTCTCTCTCCACATAACCTCAATTCACTCAGATTCACTTTATCTCCCATAACCAATTTGTGGTAAATTTTTCTGCGTTTTTTGGAGTTTTAGGAGGAAATTCACCGCCGACCGGTCGACGATCATGAACCAGTCGCAGCTTCTGAACCGGAGTTACCACCCTTGGCCACCACCTTTACCACCACGGCCCACAATGGTACCTGAAAATCAACAAACTTTCCAAGTGTTACAAAGGCCTTGTTTTACTCCCGGGAGCGTAAACCGGAGTGATTGGAAACTCCAAAACCTTTACAACTCCGATTTTCAGAAACCCCACCGGTTGAACAAACCCCGCCGGTTTTTTCAGAAGAAGAAACAGAGAGAAAATTATCGTTTTACCCCTTTCACCCCGCATAACACGACGTCGTTCCTAATCCGTGCGAAGAAATCCGGGGGAATTACTTCTTTGGTTTCCCCTTGTCCGGTGACTCCGGCTGTTTTACCGACACCGAAGTTTTCGCCGGCGAGGGAGATTTTAGCTGATGTAGCGAAAGAAGAGTGGGGTGTAGACGGGTACGGGTCGATGAACGGGTTGATCCGGGTCCGATCACCTGAGAATGAGCCAGAAGAAGAAGATGAAGGAGAAGGAGTTATTGTATCTTGGAACAGTGATGTTGAGGAAGTGGAGAAGAGGTTAAGCCATGACTTGAGCCGTTTTGAGATGATATATGACCCGAGAAATGGTGGGTCGGGTCGAGATACGTATGATTTTGGTTACAGAGTTGACGATGTGGAGGAACATATTGAGAGATTGGAAGAGGAAAACATGGAGTTGAAGGAGAAAATGTATGTAATGGAGAGGGAATTGGAGGAATTGCGGAAAAGGGTTCGGTATTTGGAAGGTGTAGATGAAAATGGAGATGGAAATGAGTCGGATAATGAAGCTGGTTCTGAGAAAAGTGTAGGAGATTGAGGTGGCCATGAAGAAGAAGAAGAAGGATCTGTATAGTTTAGTTTTGTATCTAAGTGTAGATCTTAGATATTAATCTTCTCTTTTTTGTTGTTAACTTTTGATGAGTAGAAGTAATTGTAGTAGTAATCCTTTGATCTGACTAATAAAACTAGATCAACTTTGATTGCTCAATCAAGCTGAATATTTTAGTTAGTCTCATGCTTAGTTTAATTGCAAGTTACCAGTCTTGAAGAAGGCCATGAAAGAGATGGGTGTCCTACTCGAGACGAAGTACTTGTCGTCCCAAACCAAAGGGTATGAGGGAAAAAGACTCGAGAAAGCGTCCTTGGAAGCTTTGTTTCATCTTCACCACTTTTTCTATGTATCTTCTTCGACTATTTTCAAGTACCTCGTATTTTTCAGGTGTTTTTTCATAGTTATCTTGTGTAAGCATTGATCGTCAACCACTATAAATCGTTCTAGACCATCATGATATTGTTGCCAAATGATTTAGAAACTGAATACAATGCAACATGTTTGTTTAAGTATGAAGAGGTCGATATAAAGCTTTGACATTCATGAATTGAGAAAGATTGTTGAAGATATATATTGTGTCGATTGAGTTTCGACAGAGGTGATAACATGATTCGTTTATATAATTAATCATCATTTGAGTAGATTAGAAGCTTAATTGTGGTTAATTTGAGTTTTGGAGATAAAACCTGATCGTTGTAGGTTCTAAGTGGTAGAAGACGTTGATATTGTTGCCACTAGAATAACGACCTTATGTTTAAATTCTATTGACAAATGTATAGAAAATGATTAGGGACCAAGGGTCAAACTTAACAGAAAATGTTGATGAATTTGTTACTTTTAGGGCAAAGGATCAACTTGAATCCCTTTTATAATACATTAAGGGCCCATTTGGCCATAAATTTCCCAAATAATATTTGGGAAAAAATTTGGCAAATAGTGTTTGTCCATACAATTTGCCATTGTTTGGCAAATATTCCAAATTCACAAATACTAGTTTTTTCTAGTATTTGGGCCAAATTTCATTATTTGAGATCTTTTAAAAATTGAAATTTTACACCAAACTTTTTATCTTTTACAAAAACACCCTCTATAGTAATTGTTTGCGTTGTATTACATAATTTTTTACGTGAACACCAAAGTAGTGATAAATTATTCAGTGAATATGAAAGTGATGATATGATTGTTGATGAAAATGATGAACAATCGGCTCAAGGTAACAAAGTCATGTGCTTTGTCTACTTCACGATGTATAGAATGATGCTTGTTGCACTCACTCCAAACTACCACATTGCTCTAGTGACATGGACACTACTTGTTATTTGTTGCAATTGAAGATTTAATTGACTTGTAAATACAAACTTATGGTTAGTTTTGATAGTTTAAAACTTATGGGTATAAATCATATTTTTCTAAAAAGTGAAATATATTTCACAAATACTATTGCCAAACACATAGTGAAATTTCACCCAAATAACATTTGCCAAGAATATTTGGAAATCTATGGCCGAACGCTAGCTAAGACTATATTAATCATGTCAAATATATTAAGGACCAAAAGAAAACAATCCCTTTATATTAAGGACTATTTTGATCATTTTCTCGACAAATGTATCATTACCTATAGTTTTAAGGGAAAAAATTGACCATTTTTTTGCTTGTGAAAAAAGGCCAACATATTATCATTCATCATCAAGAGAAAATCTAGTCAATTTTTGCAACGACAAGGATAACATAACCCTAATATAAATTGTTTTTTGCAAAATTGGAAGCACATTTAAAGCTTTACCCTATAAACAATTTCAGTATCACCAGAATATACGGACTTCACTGATACACGAAATCTGAACATTTCGTGCTCTGCAATCTCCATTAAACTATTTTTCCTTAAAATTTCTGACCTTTGAAGATAGAACAAAAATGGGGGTATGTCTATATATTTAAACCAGGGGTGTATTTGGAAATATATTTATCCAATTTAAGATCAACCGCGTGTTTAAAACTAAATGATGCATGCATATTTAGATTTTAAATTTTAATATGAATGAACCAAATGAAGCAACTTATAAAAAATACCACGTATTATGATGATTAAAATTATCTACATTATAATCTTTGCGTTATGACTAATGATTATAATCTCAAATAGATGTTTGGATATTATTAAATTAATAGAATACAACTAGCTTACCATACTGTTTTGAGTCCCATCACTGTTAGTGGAGGAAGCTTCTCTTTGAATTTCAATTGTCCCCTTTGCCTATTGTGCTATATATTTTTATTTACAATTTTGAAAGAATATTTGTACATTCTATGTGATTAACTGATTATTATCCACTTTTATGCTTATTGTCTATTTTACGCGTGAAGCCAACTTTATTAATATTAGGTTGAAATTAATAAAACATGTATGGTAATTGTTTTTATTTAAAAGTAGAAGTGGAAATAAAGCATGTATTAGCACAATTGATTTTATTTTTCTCTTATTTAGGAGAGGAGAGTAGTCAAATCTTCTAACAGCATTAATTTTCTGATTTAAAAGAAGTAATCATGTTATAAGTTGTTAAATAAGAATATAGAAAAGCAAAAAATGACAACTTTGGATTTGATCTTTTCCCTCTCAGTATGCTAACATCCAAAAATATTTGTACTCAATACGTCGAGAAAAGGAAATGATAATAAATTGGATCTTGGATTAACTCAGCCCCAAACGTTATTTCATTAGGGGAGAATTGTCCAAGATCATGTAAGTAGGAAGACCTTGTAAGAGCGTGAACAGTATAACTATATAAGACAGGGGCCCAAAAACTCGGGCAAACAATGAATTGGAACGAGACTTTGATACCATGCATAATAAATAAATAGATATTGGGCCTAACCCCACTCCATGGCTAAAAGCTAGCTCACGAGGGCAATATTGTTCAAGATGGACAGATGTACCTTTTTTCCCACTGATTTAGGACTCCAACACCCTCAAATGACAAATATGGGGCATGCCGGGGTGTTGGAGTCCCACCTTGATGGAAAAAAGGGTACATAATCTCCTTACACGGTGTTGGATAAATTTGCCTCCATGAGCTAACTTTTGAGGTTGGGTTAGATCCAAGATAGTCTCATCTAGCTAACTGCTCGCAGCAATATTGAAAATACAATCAATGCTAACAAACATAAAACCATTCAAACATATATATATAGGGATGAAATTGTACTTCAAAATAACATGCAATACCAAGATTCAAAGAAAAGGAAATACTTGAATACAAGTGAATTGAGTGCATGATATTGAATGTTGATAGAAAGTCAATAATAGTAATAACTCCCTGAGGGCCCAACGTAGCTAGCAGCATTGTCCATAGCTTGAAGTATGATCATGTTTTTCATGTGTTGTTCTTTCAGTCTGCACTGAGCTTCATAATATGTTAATTCTGACGACTCCTCTCCTTCTTCTCCTTCTCGTAATTTGTCTGCTGAATTTTCGTCTTGGGACGATTCAGATACTGGCTTCCTTTTATGATTTGCTCCTGGATTCTTGTCCGATTTTTTCTTTGTTTTCCTTGTTGTTGGTACTTCCTTTGGTTTCAGAATCTCTGCATTTTCTTCTTGTGATTTTTCTACTGTCTTCATTTTGGGATTTAGTACTCTAACACTCTTGGCAAATTTTTTCTCTGTTTTCCTTACTGGATCTTCTGTTGATGTATTGAATACTTGTTCAGTAATTTCATTGTTGATTGGTTCTTCCACGTTTGGTTTCATGATCACTGCATTTTCTTCTGCTTCTGATAATTCGTCTACTAGTTTTTTGACTGGAGATTCAACTACTAGCTTCATTTTGGGATTCTTGGCTGTTTTTTTCTCTGTTATCGTAACTGGACTTTTTGTTGATTTACTAATGACAAGTTCTTCATTTGGTTTCGTGATGACTGCATTATCTTTTGGTTTGTTGACATATTTGGAAATGCTACTACATTCGATATGTGTTCCAAAATCACAATCAGCACAATAATATAACCAAGAATTCTCTTCTACTTTTCCATTACAGAAATCGCAAACAAAAATGAAACTTTCATCCTCATCACCAAAAGAGGAATCAAATATAAGTTTAAGTTCATGATGCTGATGTTGGTCAAGTAAGACTGTTTGGGGCAAAACGGCACATTGCACGTGCAGATCAAATTCGCAATGAGCACAACTTAAGCTACATGATCTTCCTTCAGATCCACAGGCATTACAAGTAAAAGATCTGCACGAATAAGTAGGAGTTGGTAGAAGGGTTAAAGGGTGAGAAAGATGAGAAGGGTGAACCAGAGAACGAGGCGCGTTGAGGCAATTGTCATGGAGGTAGAAATTGCAAGAGATGCAACCATGAAAGGGCTCAAAAATGAACTTCTCACAGGCTTGACATTGAAGTTCCTCATTTTCATCAAGAACAAGTTTTTTCAAAATATGATGGTGGCTGAAATGTTGGTTATCTTGATATTTCATGTCTCTCAACTTGCTCAGTCTCTATGTTGTTTCAATGTGTGGTTTCTTTTTAGATAGACATGGTTATATGTATTTCTTGAAAATGAATTATATGATTTAATTAGTACATCCACTATCAAGTTTAATTGGTATTTCTTATCCTGGAAGTCAACTTCTGACTTTTAAAGATTATGACGAAATCATGAAATTACATAAAATAGTGAAAAATCTGGGTAGACATGACTAAATATTTTGCTTGTAGCGCCGGATAATCAAATATTTTACAAAAATCCTATAGAGTTGCTTTAACTACAAAACCATGTATGTCATAAAGTGAATTGAATAATCAAATCCGAGGCAGCTCCCTCTTCCTCTCACTATTTCCCCCTCATATGAACATTGAGTGCTCAAAACTTCCGTAACTTGGCCTAGTCAGGTCGCACACTGGAAAAGGAAAAACTGTCTTGGTAATAAGTTTTCAAGTTCCTGCATAGCTACAACATTTTTCTTTCTTGGGGTGTGTTTGG